GTGCTGGGTTTACAGGTGTGAATCACTGTGTCTGGCCCAAACCCACTGTTAAGTTGAAAATATCATAGTTGAAAAGGCCGGGCATGGTGGCTCACTCCTATAATCCCAGCACTTTGGGAGGCTGAGTTGGGCAGATCATGAGGTCAAGAGTTCGAGACCAGCCTGGCCAGCATGGTGAAACCCCATCTCTACTAAAAACACAAAAAATTAGCTGGGCATGGTGGTGTGTGCCTGTAATCCCAGCTACTTGGGAAACTGAGATAGGAGAATCACTTGAACTCAGGAGGCAGAGGTTGCAGTGAGCTGAGACTGCACCACTGCACTATAGCCTGGGCAATAAAGCGAGACTCTGTCTCAAAAAAAAAAAAAGAAAAGAAAATGTTATAAGTTGAAAACACACCTTTAAAGCAATTTTCAGAAGGGAATGATACCACCTTCATTTTGTAGCTGAAGACGCTGTAGCTCCAAGAAGTTAAGTGACGTCCTAGGCTGGGTGTGGTGGCTCACACCTGTAATCCCAGCACTTTGGAAGGCTGAGGTGGGTGGATCACTTGAGGCCGGGAATTCAAGAACAGTTTGGCCAACATAGTGAAACCCCATCTCTACTAAAAATACAAAAATTAGCCAGGCATGGTGGTGGGTCCCTGTAATCCCAACAACTTGGGAGGCTGAGGCAGGAGAATCACTTGAACCCAGGAGGTGGTGGTTGCAGTGAGCTGAGATCATACCATTGCACTCCAGCCTGGGCAACAGAGTGAGATTCCATCTTCAAAAAGAAAAATGAGGGCCAGGCATGGTGGCTCATGCCTGTAATCCCTACACTTTGGGAGGCTGAGGCAGGCAGATCATGAGGTCAGAAGATCGAGACCATTTTGGCCAACACAGTGAAACCCTGTCTCTACTAAAAAATACAAAAATTTAGTGAGGTGTGGTGGCAGGCACCTGTAGTCCCAGCTACTCAGGAGGCTGAGGCAGGAGAATCGCTTGAACCTGGGAGGCGGAAGTTGCAGTGAGCCTAGATCATGCCGCTGCACTCCAGCCTGGGTGACACAGCAAGACTCTGTCTCAAAAAAAAAAAAAAAAAAAGAAGTCACTTCCCAAGGTCAAACAATTAGTGTAGTGGAAGTTAAGGCCATTAGTGAAAGATGTATCACTTCTTAGATTGAAGATTCTTTTTACTACCAAAGGCCGCCTTTCAGGAGCTCACTTTTGGAGTGAGGAATGCAGTGATTGAGAAGAGAAACGTATTGCTAACAAAGGGTAGAAAGAATAGAAAGAAAGTGGACTGCCATGGAAGGGAGCCTCAGGGAACTGGTCTGAGTGACATTCTCTTCGGAGGTAAATAAGGCTTGTCTCTGTCTGGCCCAGGGACCAATCCCCCAGAGGTGGGAAAATGTGGAGGAGCCAAACCTGGATGAGCTGCTGGTTCGATTGGAGGAGGAGCAACAGAGGTGATGGACCCCAAACTTTGTGACCTGGGTAATTGGCCAGTGGGTGGAGAAGGCTAATGGGAAACCTCTGCCCTGAGGACTAATGTGGATTAGAGCCATGGATTTCAGCCGTAGCCCTCTAATTCCTTGCAATGGAAAATTTCAGTGGTTGCCATCTTACTCCCAGGAAGTCCAAGGGTTGGACCAGACCTTTATTTTGCACCTGCTTTTACCCCTCCCCAGTGCAGGTGTGAGAGTCTAGCAGAGGTGAACACCCAGCTTCGACTGCACATGGAAAAAGCTGACGTGGTGAATAAAGCCCTTAGGGAAGATGTGGAAAAATTGACAGTGGACTGGAGCCGGGCCCAGGATGAGCTAATGAGGAAGGAGAGCCAGTGGCGGATGGAGCAGGAGGTAGGAAGAACAGGGACTGGAACTGCGAGAGGAAGGCTGTGCACTCTGGATGCTGCCCTGGTCAGTATTGGAAGGGGTTAACTTCAGGATTTAGATGGAAACTGAGCTGTTGCTGTTAAAGTCTCTGACCATTCTTAACCTGCCCATGCTGGCAGCTTCATCTTGCTTGGGCCCTCAGCTTAGACCTGCCACTACCTGCCTAGCCTAGGTTCTGTTGGCAGGTAGCATGACACTCAAAGCAACTCTGTTCCTGCAGAAGTGACGCCTTAGGTTTTCCATGGATCTGAAAGCTTATTGACTCTCCTGATCTGGAGGCCTTGCATATCTAGATGCTAAAGAGGTATATATTGAAACTGAATAGGAAAGAAAGACCAGTTATAGGCCCTGCGGAATTTTCAGGTCCCAGCTGAAGGAAACAAATGTTTCCTGCACTTTTGCTTTGCTTTGTGCTAGGTGGTTTATATATATCGTTGACTCTCCTTATAAGTCTGCTCCCATTTGTTAAGCAGCTACTGTGTGTTCTTTTCCAATATGGCCCAGAGGAAAGCGACATACCATCCTAGGCCCTCTGACCTCTCAAATCCCACTGCCAACTTTATTAAACCCTTCAGCATAACCTGGATAGATACCCATTCATAAACGATCTCCTGTAAGTCCCTCCTTCCTTCCCCCAGTAGTCAGGAGGAATCCAAGACTCTTGTGTTGGCAAAAGATAGTCCTCTGCCTTTTGGTATGACCTGGGTTTCTGAACACACAGTTCTTCAAGGGCTACCTGAAAGGGGAGCATGGTCGCCTTCTCAATCTATGGCGGGAGGTGGTGACCTTCCGACGCCATTTCCTGGAAATGAAGTCAGCTACTGACAGGTCAGTGTGGGGAGAAGAAGGGAGGAGGTTTGCCCCTGCCAATTCTGGACTTACAATAGTGGGCTGCTATAGAAGTGGGATCAGCTATGGGGGTGGGGTAGGCTGGGGAGTTGGTGGTGTTGGAAGCAGGTGATTTTTCCCAGCTTTGCTCCTCATGCTTCACTGGGCCTGATCACCACACTCCCTTCCCTGGTTAGTAGTAGAGTCTGCTATTTTCCTTGCTTGTACTCAGAGATCTGACAGAGCTAAAGGCTGAGCACGTGAGGCTTTCAGGGTCCCTGTTGACCTGTTGTCTACGCTTGACTGTGGGAGCACAGTCTCGGGGACCTGACGGATCTGGGAGAATGGATGGGCGGGAACCAGCCCAGCTGCTGCTGCTACTAGCCAAGACCCAGGAGCTGGAGAAGGAAGCCCATGAGAGGAGCCAGGAATTAATACAGCTGAAGAGTCGAGGGGATCTGGAGAAGGCTGAACTGCAGGACCGGTGAGATGGCCTGGTGTCCCAGGAAGGGTTTGCTGAGAGAGAGCTGACTCCTTAGAGGGTTAAGGACAGGGAGGGGAGATGCCAAGAACATTTCTACCGTGGAGGGGAAGAAGATATGCCTGAGGGAGTCTACTTTGAAACCCGATGCCACAGTTGGGGCTTGTACGCATCTCTGCCCTCAGCCTGTCTTTCAGCCCAGTTTCTCTCCTGTTGATTTATGGAGCTAGCTATGACTCCATCCTCCATGAACACCAAACTACTTGCCATTCCCAGAACAGCCAAGCTCTTCCCTTTCCCTGCCTTTGTACCTGCTGACTTTAGTCTGGGAAGCCTCCCTCCCTTGTCTCTCTGCCTTATCCTCTAAGGCATAGTTCAAATATTACCTTTTTTTTTTTTTTTTTTTTTTTGAGACAGAGTCTCACTCTGTTGCCCAGGCTGAAGTGCAGTGGCACGATCTCAACCACTGCTACCTCTGCCTCCCGGGTTCAAGTGACTATCCTGCCTCAGTTCCCAAGTAGCTGGGACTGTTTATAGGCATGCACCGCCACATCTGGCTAATTTTTTTGTTTTTAGTAGAGATGGGGTTTCACAGTATTGGCCAGGCTGGTGTTAAACTCCTGACCTCAAGTAATCCACTTGCCTCAGCCTCCCAAAGTGCTGGGATTATAGGGGTGAGCCACCACAACTGGCCAAAATGTCACCTCTTCTATGAAGCTTTCTCTGACCTTAGTAGCCTACTAAGTTATTGTGCTCTTGTAGTCTTTTGACTTCTTATTGCAGCATTGATCTCACTGATGATTTAGTTTCCCCCACCTTTTTTTTTTTTTTTGGTTAGGCTCTTTTAATTTTTGGATTATAATGAAGTAGGTTTTTTAAAAATGATGATGTAGAAGGGCAGGGAAATGAGCAGAGAGCCCCAATGAATCTGAGGACAAAGTTCATATATGCCCATGACTAGGGTTGTGTCTTCACCTGTTGGAGATACATACATAAAATGCAGGACTATTTTGTTTTGTTTTTGCTTTTGGAGGCAGTGAGAAGCACAAAGACAGAGACCACGTCTTAGTAAGTTTTGTGTTTCTAGTACTTTGTACTTCACCTGCCATATAGGAGAGAGTCAATACATTTGTTTCTGTGCTTTTTGAGACAGAGGCTAGCTCTGGCTATAGTAGACGCCCAGGCTATAGTATAGTAGTGCAAACACAGCTCACTGCAGTCGTGACCTCCTTGGCACAAGCAGTTCTCCTGCTTCAGCCTCCAGAGTAGCTGGGACTACAGGCACACACCACTATGCCTGGCTGATTTTTTTTAATTTTTTTGTAGTGGTGGGGTCTTGCTGTGTTTCCCAGGCCAGTCTGGAACTCCTGATCTCAAGCAACCTTTCCACCTTGGCATCCCAAATTTCTAAAATTACAGGTTTGAGCCACCATGCTTGGCCAATAAATGTTTGTTGAGTGATACAATACTTAAACAAATGACCATACAGTGAGTTAAGGTTCTTAGAGATGGTATAGGATAAAATTACTAAGACTTTCACTGAGGCAGGAGGTTCACTTGAGCCCAGGAGTTCAAGACCAGCCTGGGCAACACAGTGAGACCTTGTCTCTACTAAAAGTAAAAATAAAAATTAAAAAAAATAGCCATGTGGTGGCATGCACCTATAGTCCTAGCTACTTGGGAAGCTGAGGCAGGAGGATTGCTTGAGAGTGAGCTATGACTGCACCTCTGTACTCTAGCCTGGTCAACAGAGCAAGACCCTGTCTCAAAAAAAAAAAAATTGAAAAAAAAATTTAACCTTTTAGATAGCATTCATTCAAGAAATATTTATTTAGCTACTCACATATTACCAAGCAGTAAGCTCCAAGATATAATGTTAAGTGTTTGGTGATTTTGCGGGACCTTGAGTTTAATATCAAGAAGGTTGACCATAATCTTCCCCAAATTGCCCTTCCTTTTTCCCTATCAGAGTCAGAACCTCAGGCTGGAGGGACCTTGGGACTATCCCTTGTGGCAATTCTGATGTTCTTATTGGCTTCAGGGTGCTTGACTTCAAGATCAAGCGAGGCCTGGAAGGGCCTGGGCCAGGGCTTTCCTTCAGCTCTCGGGCCCCCAAACACGTGTTCCAGCCTTGAGATGTGGTAAATCCCTGCATGTGTCTGAGTGATTTTTTGCCTCCCCACTTCAAGGCTATAGCATCATGTGGTCTTCAGGGAGTGCAGAGGGGCTGGGGGTGCTAAGGGATTTTAGGGTGGCCGCAGTTGGGAGTGTCTGGGGTTGGGGCTGGGGTGTGCTACATCGGAGCTCTGTCCACATCCATGGGTTGTTCTATGGACAGTGCTATGCTCTTCTCTTTAGGGTGACTGAGCTCTCTGTTCTGCTGACCCAGTCTCAGAAGCAAAATGAAGATTATGAAAAGATGGTAAAGGCTCTGAGAGAGACACTGGAGATCCTGGTACATGACCCTTTGTTCTGGAAGGGAGCAGGGCATGGGCTTGTAGGTTTCTTGTCCTATATGGACAGATAGTGCAGGATACCAGTTAAATAGTCCATGATGAAATCCTCTGAAGCTAAAAAATAAATTTTGGCTGAATCTGAAAATTGATTAACTCATTCATTTATTCAATGAATAAATGTTATTGAGTGTCTACTATCCCTACTGTATTCCTGGGGATATTGCAATGGCATGCATATGCAATATGCCAGAGACTTGGCACATAACATTCAGAGACACATTAGCAAATTAGTGAGTTACCAGGAAGCGGATGTGTGGAGAGATTTAAAACCTTGTCACTTGGAAAACAACTGAGGAGTATGGCAGTGTTTAGCCAGGAGAAGAAAGAGCCTGAAGCTTATTGAAGGCCCTTGAAGACATGATAGCTGCCCTCACATATCTGAAGGACTGACACTGGGAAAAGAGAGTTTATGTATTTAATGTTTTCTAGACCAAAACCAATGTCAATAGCTAGAAGTTATTAGGGGAGTAGATTCTGACTCACAGTTAGAGCTCTTCAATAGTTGGACAGCCTGTCTTGTGAAGGAATAAGGTTTTGGTCACTGGCTTAACATCTGCCAGGGATGTTATCAAAGGGATTCTCTAAGGTTGGATGTTAGAGCCCTCTGGCTTGATATCATGTTTCATCTCTGCAAGTTTTCAGATTCCTGATGTTAGGTAGCTCCTGAACCCCTATTCATATACATACCCCTAGTCTTCTCATGCAAGCTGGGATCAATCAACAGGCATTGTAGCTTTCTGATTCCCCCGACCCTTTTTTTTTTTCCCAGGAATTTGCCAATTCAGAATATCCATGGGGCTCAGATAATGTAAATAAATGAAGTGGGTTCAGTTGTAAGAATTCTGGTTTTCCAGTGCTGTCGTATTTAGTTTTCAGTACTGCAGGGAACACTTGAGCTCAGTATTAAGGAAGCCATGAGGAGTGATAGGGATTGTGAGACCTTGAAGAATAAATGTCTCATCTAGAGGAGGCATCCACCATTCAACTTCAGTAAATCATTTCCATGTAGGAATGAAGGCTGGGTGTGGCCCATTTTTAACGTTTTGGGAGAAGCCAGAAATTTATATTTTTAATGTAAAATCTTTCCATTTATAAATGTTGATTCAAATTTTGTATAAGCCAAATAAAACATAGTTGCAAGTCTAAGTCTTCGCGCCTTCACTAACACAAATAGGAGGGAAGAGAGGAACTCTTGAGTCTTTAAGATTATGTCTAGCTTTGGGGCTAGAGGATTCGCTGGTTTAGCATTAGGTCTCAAGCATCCATTTACTGTTCAGAGACAACAGCCATCCCCCATCTAATAATAGCTTACATTTATTGAACATTTGCCTTGTTCCAGACGTTATGTTGAATAACTTAAATGCATTTTTCATTTAAGCCTCAAAACAAGTAGTTACTGATAATTATTTTTGTTTTAAAGAAGCCCAAAGAAATAGCTGCCTATGGTAACCAAGCTAGTAAGTGATAGAGCAGGAATTCTAATCTGTGAAGTCTAATTTGGAACTCATAATCACTTAATCTAAACTTGTAATCACCACATCACATTGTCTTCAGACTCTTCGGGTATCATATTAGCATTCACGTATGGTCAGGGGAAAAGTGGGGCTGATAGAATAGATAGAATGAGGGGACCTGGAATAATAAAATCACTTTTGATAGTTTGGCTCTGAGGCTCTATTCTGTTCCCTGGTCAGGAGACAAATCACACAGAGTTAATGGAACATGAAGCATCTCTCAGTAGGAATGCCCAAGAGGAGAAGTTGTCTTTACAGCAGGTGATCAAGGATATAACCCAGGTACTGGGAAGCCTCCTATTCATGGTAACCAGGTTATGCCTCTTCCCCCCGGGTCTCCATGTCCTTTAAGTCCTGCTTAGATTTCCAGTCTCTGAGGTTTGGGGACTTAAAGTCTTTTGGGGATAAGTTCTGTGTTTTCGAAGACCAGACCCTGAGATAGCTATGCATTCATGTCTTAGCACTACCTGACAGGATAGGCCCTCTTTCCTGTTTCTAGTGGCAGTTCTCAGGGCAGAGGCTAGATTCTGGTCTTCACTGTCTCAATAGTTTCATCTTTTATTTCTTCACTTGTTACCTCAGAGAGTGTTCTAGCCTTGTTGCTAGTACTAGACTTGGGTGACCAAAGGTGGAGAGTTGAAGGAACCAGACTTTTATGCTCTCAGATACTCTCCTCCTTCCCCCAAGGGAGAGGATCTGAAAAGGAAAAACAGCAGGTTTGTCCAGGCTACAGGGTTAAGTCCCTGTATAAACTTTAGGATTTGGTCAGTAGGGTGTTGACTCTGCTGTATTGGGTTTCAGGTCATGGTGGAAGAAGGGGACAATATAGCCCAAGGCTCTGGTCATGAGCGCTCTTTGGAATTGGACTCTAGTATCTTCTCCCAGTTTGATTACCAGGATCCAGACAAGGCCCTTACTCTGGTGCGTTCAGTGCTGACTCAGAGACGCCAGGCTGTGCAGGTAAGAACCCTCAGCATTGTCCCTCAGTCACAGGGGTATGTGTCTAAACTGATGTGTGCCCCAGATACCTCCCTAGCTTGGACTGTCCCTTTCACTTTGTTTACCAATCGTGAGGCGTTTTGTCAACATCCCAAAGCGAATCTGTCTGTGTCTGCTGAATTGTGCTTGTGAGTAGCAGGCACATCCATTGCCAATGGCATGCTTCACTTTGTATACAGTCTTTGCATAACATGCAGAGATTGGGAACCAGAGCCCTGGGAGATTATTGGGCCAGCGTTCTCCATCTCTGAGGGTCCTAGGCACACTTACCACTCCCCCATGCCACTGTACACTTGGAGATGACAAACTCTAAGAATCTAGAGCCACAGAAGCCCAATGACCTCTGATGGTCTATCTTCTTGAATAGTTGCATCTCCCTTCTCAGCTTACTCTTGTTGCACCAGCTGCCGACCCCCTTCTCCAGCCCCATGTTCAGGGTTCTGACATCTCCTTTGCCCTTGCTCATCATCTGGTTTCTCTTGCTCTCCCTCCACAGGACCTAACGCAGCAGCTTGCAGGCTGCCAAGAGGCTGTGAGCTTGTTGCAACAGCAGCATGATCAGTGGGAGGAAGAAGGCAAAGCCTTGAGACAGAGGCTGCAGAAGCTCACTGGGGAGCGGGACACTCTAGCAGGGCAGACTGTGGACCTCCAGGGAGAGGTGGACTCTCTTAGCAAGTGAGCAGATGGGCTATTTATCCCACCCTCCCAGCCTGGTCTCAGTCCAGTCCTCATCCAGCCATTTGCCCACTCCCATCAGGTTTTGGGGTGCTGATCCTGCTGTCCCTGAGACTCAGGGCTGTTTTGTTCTGTGTTCTACTTGTTTCTACAGAACAAGCTTTTGGGGTTGGAGTCTAAAGGGAAGATGGGATCTTGAGACAAGCACCTTTCATTTGAACCTGTGATGTCTGCTTCCAGAAAGAAATTGAGGTCCCACGGTCTCTGTTCATCTCTGATTTCCTTCTTCCAGGGAGCGAGAGCTGCTGCAGAAGGCCAGGGAAGAGCTGCGGCAGCAGCTGGAGGTGCTAGAGCAGGAGGCATGGCGCCTGCGAAGGGCAAATGTGGAGCTTCAGCTGCAGGGGGACTCTGCCCAGGGCCAGAAGGAGGAGCAGCAGGAGGAGCTGCACCTGGCTGTGCGGGAGAGGGAGCGTCTGTAAGTGCAACCAGTCTCCTCCTCTCTAGGGCCTGGTTTTCCTTCAATTCTACACCCTCCCCACCTACTCCCCTCTCTTAGAAAGTAGAGTATGTAGAAGTCTGGCATGCAGTGGGTTCAGATTAGCTTACTGCTTCTTTCTTTGCAGAAAGATGAATACAGAAAGTTTGTAGTTGGTTAAGTCTTTGCAGAGCACCCATATGGGATGAGACAGTGGGGGGAATACAGAAATGAATAAGACACAAGCCCTAATCTCAGGGAACTTCCCAGAAGACAGACAACTAACTGTGACATGAGGCTGGAATGAAGTATGAGTTAAATAGAGTTTCAGACTAAGTCCTTTGGGAGCACAGGAGCAACAGCTAATTATTGAGGACTAGGGAATGCTTTATGGAGGAGTGGGTAGACTTTGTGCTGGGCCTTGACCTGTTTGGTTAGCAGAGAGTGGGGGAAGAGCTCAAAGAACAGATTAGCAAATACAAGGAGGCAGGAAGGTTCATGGCATGTTCAGAGTAGGCTGGGGTGGCTAAAGGCTATGACTTATACAGGGAAGTAGTGGGAAATGTGCTAGCTGGTCAAGAAAGGGAAATCCAGAATCAATGGCCCAGCTAATCTGTAAATTCCCCTATATGATGTCACATAAAAAGCAAGAACTAGCCAGGCGCGGTGGCTCAAGCCTGTAATCCCAGCACTTTGGGAGGCCGAGGCGGGTGGATCACGAGGTCAAGAGATTGAGACCATCCTGGTCAACATGGTGAAACCCCGTCTCTACTAAAAATACAAAACATTAGCTGGGCATGGTGGTGCGTGCCTGTAATCCCAGCTACTCAGGAGGTTGAGGCAGGAGAATTGCCTGAACCCAGGAGGCGGAGGTTGTGGTGAGCCGAGATCGCGCCATTGCACTCCAGCCTGGGTAACAAGAGCGAAACTCCGTCTCAAAAAAAAAAAAAAAGCAAGAACTTTGAGCTGGGCAAAATCTTGGGTGAATTATGGCTCTGTCAGTTGCACAGATTATTTGTAAAATGATGATGCTAATATTTACCTTGAAGGGTCACTGGGAAAATTAGAGCAATGTTCTGAAAAATGCCAGCGTAGAACCTGGCATATGGTAGGTCTTTAATAACTGGGAGCAGGAATGTATTTTCATCTTTGTTCTATTTCCCTCCTCTCCTATGCCCCAGTTCCTTGTATCTGGTAGGCATGAATAGTTGAAGCTTGAAGGGCTACCATAAGGGTGATGACTTGTGCTAGGAAGGATCTCCCTGTACCAGAGACAAGGGCAGACAATCCACAGAGATCATAACATGTTTTTAAGTTTAATTTATCTGACTTGATAATACGTTTATATGATTCAAAAGTCAAAACTATTTTAAGGCTAGGCACATTGGCCCACACCTGTAATTCCAACCCCTTTAGAGGCCTTAGTGGGAAGATTGCTTGAGGCCAGGAGTTTGAGACCAGCCTGGGCAACATAGTGAGACCTCTGTCTCCACAGAAGCAACAAAAAATTAGCTGAATGTGGTGGCATGTGCCTATAGCCTTGGCAGGGTAGATGGGGGGATCGACTGGGTGCGGTGGCTCATGCCTTTAATCCCAGCACTTTGGGATGCCGAGGAGGGCAGATCATGAGGTCAGGAGTTCAAGACCAGCTTGGCTAGCATGGTGAAACCCCATCTCTACTAAAAATACAAAAAATTAGCTGGGCATGGTGGCACGCACCTGTAGTCCAAGCTACTCGGGAGGCTGAGGCAGGGGAATCGCTTGAACCTAGGAGGCTGAAGTTGCAGTGAGCCGAGATCGCACCACTGCACTCCAGCCTGGGTGACAGAGCAATAACCTGTCTCAAAAAAAAAAAAAAGAAAGAAAAGAGGCTGGGCACGATGGCTCACGCCTGTAATCCCAGCACATTGGGAGGCCAAGGCGGGCAGATCACGAGGTCAGGAGTTCGAGACCAGACTGACCAACATGATGAAACCCCATCTCTATAAAAAAAAATAAGAAGAATAAAGAAAAGAGATGGGAGGATCACATGAGCCCCCAGCAGTTTGAGGCTTCAGTGAGTTTAGAAGATACACAGAGAAGCCTCACTCTCATTTGTGCTTTCTCCATCCCATGTCCCTTCCTCTTTAGGCAGCCATTTTAGTTGACTTCTTGTTTATCTTGCCAGTGCTACTTCATGCAAATATAGGCATATATTCTTTCTTCCCCTGCTTTCTTGCATAAAAAGTAGTGTATTATGTTTATACTGTTCTGCGCCTTGATTTGTTTCTCTTGATATGTCTTAGAAATCTTTCCTTATCAGTTTTATAGACCTTCCTCATTCTGTTGCATAGCAAAGGTGATTACATTCCTGTTACCTTTGGGGTTATGGTCCATCCCTAAGAGTTCTTCTAGACCCCTCTCCTTCCCATCTTAGTCAGGAGACGCTGGTGGGCCTGGAAGCCAAACAGTCAGAATCACTCAGTGAACTGATCACTCTTCGGGAAGCGCTGGAGTCAAGTCGCCTGGAAGGGGAGTTACTGAGGCAAGAGCAAACGGAAGTGACCGCAGCGCTGGCTAGGGTGCGTGGCCTCCTCTCCTCACTTGCTGGGTGGGCAGCTTCGAAAGTGTATTCTCATGCAGCCTGCCTCATTCTTCACCTTCAAGCCAGGATCCCTCATCTTTCCTTAATCATTAGTCTGCTTGTGGGTTCTCTCTTCCAACATACCCTCTATATTGAAATTAGAATGGGCCTTCTAAAGTATAAACCTGGTTATGTCTGTCTCTTAAAACCATTCAATGGCTTTCTAGCTCTGTGGTGCCACATTCAAAGCTTTTTGTCCTGTGCCCTAAACTGTGTTTTAGCCTCTCCTTCTACTGCAAAACCCATCCTAATGCCTCATATCCTTTGCTCCTGCCACAGAGCAGTAATTGGATTCTCAGTTATTCCATGTTCTTTCATGACTCTAATACTTTGTGTATACTTTTTTTCCCTTTCCCTGCGCTACTTCTTTCCTCCTCCTTTATGCGCAAACTGTTCCTCATCTCTCAATACCCAACTTAATCGTCAACTTCTCTACAAAGCATATTTGACTCTTCCAAACTATATTAATATTTTTTTTGAGTTCCCAGAGCACTTTGTACTTATATTTTCTATGGCTATATTACAACTGTAGTCATTTCTCTGTCCTTACATTGGTACTTCTATACTGTGAGCTTCTGTCTTACTCCTTAATGAATGATTGAAGGGAAAACTTGTTTAGAATGCAGGAGAGGAATGGAGTATTAACTCCTCTCTATACCAAAAAAGCAGCAGTGTTCAGAATGTGAACTATTTACTGTTGCAGGAAAATTGAAAATAGGAAACTCTTTAACCCTCTTTGTTTTTAGGCAGAGCAGTCAATTGCAGAGCTGTCGAGTTCTGAAAACATCCTGAAGGCAGAGGTAGCTGATCTTCGGGCTGCAGCTCTCAAGCTCAGTGCCTTAAATGAGGCTTTGGCCTTAGATAAAGTTGGGCTGAACCAGCAGCTTCTCCAGGTGAGTAAAGATTTTCCTGGTTCCCAGGGAAGGCTTGGACCCTAACTGAGGACAGGACAGATCAGCTCCCAAATGTAGCTCTGAAATGAGCAAAAGGAACACTTACAGTGCAGAGGAGAGCAAAGGTTGTAGGATTGGGCTTTAGACATTACAAATACTCCACTCCCACATCTTCAGCAGAACCATCTCTGGACTTTAGGGTAAATCACCAGGGTTGGGAAGGGGCCCATGTCCTCTGGAAGAAAGACTAGAATTTTGCTGGTTTTTTTTTTTTTTTTTTGGTCGGTAGATGAATCTCCCTCTGTCGCCCAGGCTATGGTATGATCTTAGCTCACTGCAGTCTCTACCTCCTGGGTTCAAGCTTTTTTTTTTTTTTCTTTTTTTTTTGAGGTGGAGTCTCACTCCATTGCCAGGCTGGAGTGCAGTGGCATGATCTTGGCTCACTGCAACCTCCACCTCCTGAGTTCAAGCATTCTCCTGCCTCAGCCTCCCGAGTAGCTGGGACTACAGGCATGTACCACCACGCTTGGCTAATTTTGTATTTTAACTAGAGACAGGGTTTTACCATGTTGGTCAGGCTATTCTTAAACTTCTGACCTCAGGTGATCCGCCCACCTTGGCCTACCAAAGTGCTGGGATTATAGGCATGAACCACCGTACCTGGCCGCCCCTGGCTAATTTTTGCATTTTTAGTAGAGCCGGGGTTTCACCATGTTGGCCAGGCTGTTCTCAAACTCCTGACCTCAGGTGATCCATCCATCTCAGCCTCCCAGAGCCCTGGAATTATAGACATGAGCCACCGTGCCCGGTCTAGGACTAGGTTTTTAATCCTGTTGGGTGAGATAATAGCAATCACCAGAAAAAAATCTGCTGAAGAGCCTAAGTCCCAAAGAATGTTTTCTATAGGTTACAGATTTAACCTATAATTTTAGCAAGGGAACCTCCTTGCAACCTCTATTCCCTTAAGCCCCAGAAATGTTCTCTATTCCATTATTCTGAATTATCTGAGAGCAGGATTTTGCCTTTCATATCTCCATCTCCAGCATCCAGCCCATCTATTACCTGGATTATAGGCACTAGATCAAATGAATGGATTTCCCTCCCCGCCACCCTTTTTTTTTTTTTCCTGAGAGGGAGCTTCACTCTTGTTGCCCAGGTTGGAGTGCAATGGCTCAATCTCAGCTCACCACAACCTCCATCTCCTGGGTTCAAGCGATTCTCCTGCCTCAGCCGCCTGAGTAGCGGGATTACAAGCATGCACCACCATGCCTGGCTAATTTTTTGTATTTTTAGTAGAGACAGGGT